TTGGTGGATATCCACTCACAGGTTGTGACTAGAGTAGGCCCATTCACTCAAATTGAGTGTTGGGGGCTGAGAACAGACAAAAGAAAAGATTTTGTTATCTAGCATGTTGTTAGTCTGTGGAATCCCTTGTCATAGGATGTGGTGATACTGATTGTGTGTGTGAGAACAGACAAAAGAAAAGATTTTGTTATCCAGCATGTTGTTAGTCTGTGGAATCCCTTGTCATAGGATGTGGTGATACTGATCTTACTAGATTCCTTTCAGTCGGAGTGGAAGAAGCATATAACTGAAGAGATATTGAAAATTGGCTTTTCCCCCAGTATACTTATAGCAATGGGCCTCAAGGATGCCACCAAAGCAATGAAGTTAAGGGTATGGGACATTGAACTACAGGACCATGTTGGCCAGTGAGCAAAAAAAAACTTTCTTAAGAAATCATCTTTTATCACCTCCTCGTACTTAGCCAGCACTATGTCATCTAAAGCCATAAGGGCTTTTACACTAGCTAGGCTCAATGTATTTCCTTTTAAGCTTCTGGAGGGAAGATTTTGAGGTTTGCCTGCATCAGATTGTCTCTGTCCTGGTAATAGTGATAAAGTTGAATCAGTTGGTCATGATCTCCTATTCTGTACTTGCTATCGGGATCTTCGTATGGAGCTTTTATCACCTATTATCTGTAAATCTCCCAGGAGAGCAGCAGAGGATTACGTCCAGTTGCTACTCTCTGACAATACCCCTTATATTACGAGACAAGTGGCCAAATTCTGTGCTGCAGCAATGGTTATTCATAATCAAATGTTTGGGTAGGTGATTTTAGATACCTGTTTGCCGGCGTATAAGACGACTGGGCATATAAGGCGACACCCCCCCCCCAACATTTCCACTCAAAATATAGAGTGGACAGCTCTGCCCGGGCCTGCCCTGGAAGTTTGGCGGGCAGCGGCAGCGGAGGAGGAGGGTAATTGCTCTCCGGTGGCAGGCGGGCGAGTGGGCAGCTGGCTCAGCGGTGAGGAGGAGGGGAAGCGTCTGGGTGGGCAGCAGCAGCGGAGGAGGAAGAGGAGGGGAAGCGGCTCTCTGGCAGCAGGTGAGCAGGCGGGCAGCTGGCTCAGTGGTGAGGAGGGGAAGCGGCCGGGCAACGGAGGAGGAGGGAGGGAAGCAGCTCTCCAGCAGCGGGCTCTGGCTGCTCAGACATGACTGCCTCTGCTTCCCTCCCTCCGTCTGTACCGACCGTCTGCCTGCCTGCCTGCCTTTCTCCCCGACAGGCACGGCCCCGTGTCACTCACTCAATGGCGGTGGCTCCTTCCTGGCCCAACTGAAGTGCACCCGGCGTATAAGACAACCCCCCCATTTGGAGGCATGTTTTTTGGGCCAAAAAAGTCATCTTATACGCCAGCAAATATGGTACATAATGTAATGTGTTTAATATAACACTGGCTGAGGTTTTACTTACATTAAGGATATACAGTATGATGTTATTAACTGGAAAGGAGGGGTTGTTTTATCACATTTTAATGGAATTTTATTACCCTGATTGACTTTACGAAACTATAATTATATGGATCTATTTTATATTGATTTGGTTTTACTGGTCTTTGACCATAATAAAATATTCATTCAGGATGTGGTGATGGTATCTGACGTAGATGCCTTTAAAAGGGGACTGGACAGATTTATGGAGGAAAAGTCCATTGCAGGTTACAAGCAAATATGGGGATGTAGGATCTCCAAGCTTAAAAGGAAGGTACCTCAAAATTCCAGATGCAGGGGAAATAGTCTCGTGTGCTCCCAGAGGCATCTGGTGGCGCCACTGTGAGATATAGGAAGCCGGACTAGATGGGCCCTTGGCCTGATCCAGCAGGGCTCTTTTTATGTTCTTATGTAGTACAAAAAAGGTGAAACAAAATTATTACAATCTGCTCTGGATAATTAGCAACATTGACTGCCACTTGACATTAGTTGTGCTTCCAGTGAAGTGTTTGGATCTCAAGGTGTTGTGTCATCCATAAATTTTGTTCACCTGGTGTACTGCTTAGAATACTGAAGCTCATTATCTACACGACATGCTTGGACATTTTCATACTTCGGTGACTAGTGCTGAAGGGTCCATCTTGGTTTGAGCCATAACACTAAGGGAGGGGTGGTTAGGAAAGTTGCAGTTGGGCCAGACAATCTTCCCAATCACCCCTCCCACAGGTTCTGGTCTTTTCCAAGCCTGGCAATTAAAAAATCTGTTTGCTCTGTATAAAGCTGGTTTTTGCTAAGAGGCAGTTTGTGACCTCAGCCACTGCCTTTGCTTCTGGCAGCTGGGGTTGGCAATGCACATAGGTAGCATTCATCCCCTTGCTTGCCATCATTGCAGCTACCTCTCTCTTTTCTTCAGAGTACATCACCTTCTCCAGTTCCTTTCTCCATCTTTGGCAGCAAGGCAAGCAGACTTGGTTGTGAGGAGAAGGAAACAGTCCTGCTACATTGTCCCTAGCACAGATGTGAGGAGTGAGCATGTGAGGCTGAGTTACTTTAGCCGGGGAGAGGGTTAATAGTGGTGGCGGCAGCACTCATATTTTCCTTGTCCCTCTCTGGTTTTGTTAGTGGGGTAGCAGTTTTGTTTCCTTCTCACAGGTAGGTATGCTTGGGCCCATCCAGATCAGCAGTGGCAATGGAGGAGTGGCACATTCTCAGGTCCAACCCTGGGCCTTGGCAAGTCCCCAGATATACCCTCTCCAGCCTGTGACTGGAAAATGTACCAGAATGAGAGCCCACAAACACCAGTTTTAAGATAACAATTTGATTTTGGGTATTATTTTTTTTTAATCATGTCTTTTTTCTAACACATAAAATGAACTGATAATTCATTTATAATGAAAATGTTAATGAATATGGTATTTTCATTAAATGTGATAAGTAAATGGTAAATTATAATGGTTTCTTCTGTCCCTCTTTTAGGGCTATTACATAGACTTATCCTGGAGCACACCTGTCTAAATTACTGCAATGTGATATATGAGGCAGCTTGCTAATAACTGTCACATTCAAACTTGGTCTGAACTATTTACTGTATACTAAAGAGATTCCTTATCCTGTAATTTACCAATACACAAACAAAACAGTTTACTTGCTAGCCTCGTAAATTGTGAGTCATATTTTTCTACACCAGTAAAAGTGAAAGAGATTTAAATGGAAAACATTATGACAGTTTATAGGGGTCAGTAACTTATTCCACCAGCAAAATTCAGTTGTTTACAGTTGAAGGAAATGTAAAAGATTGAGAAATAAATAAATATAGGGAGACAAGAGAGGCATAAACACAACATGCTATGCCACACACACACACCCAATACCAGCAACACTGATACTAGGCACCAGACATCAAAGAGCAGAAGGCATGTAGCAGCACAGCAGCAGGCTTCATCTCCAGAAGCCAGCAGCACAATCATGGATTTCTCTTTCTAGATGCAAACTGAACAGGGCTGGCCTGGTTGGGTGAGAAAGTTACTCAGTAATTTTCTATGTGCCCTTAAAGGTAAAGGTTCCCCTTGACATTTAATCCAGTCATGTCCAACTCTAGGGCACAGTGCTCATCCCCGTTTCCAAGCCGTAGAGCCAGTGTTTGTCCGTAGACAGTTTCCATGGTCACGTGGCCAATGCGACTAGAAACAGAACGCCGTTACCTTTCCACCAAGGTGGTACCTGTTTATCTACTCGCATTTCCATGCTTTCGAACTGCTAGGTTGGCAGGAGCTGGGACAAGGGACGGGAGCTGATTCCATCACGTGGATTCGATCTTATGACTGCTGGTCTTCTGACCTTGCAGCATAGAGGCTTCTGCAGTTTAACCCACAGTGCCAAGATGTCCCATGTGCCCTTTCATATGCTTAAAGGCTAAGAGATGTATTTTATTGTATATATTCTTATTTTTAAGTACTTTGATATTTTAAGAGATGTATTACCAGCTTTTCAATGTGCTGGAAACACCTGCAATTTTTACATGTATGTTTTTGCAATTTTGAAAAATGACTATAACATGATTTAAGTTCTTCTGTATAACTTAATTTTTTTCAGAATGTACTTTTGTTTACAGTTTCTCGTCAGTTTAAGAATTTTGGATGGCAGTCACACCTGCAGCTTTCACAAATTGCAGGAATGGATTTCTGTTAAGCATTTGTTCCTACAGTTTTCCCACAGCTGTAAGACTTTTAGATGTTTTCAAGACCTTTGAAGTATTCTTGTGCATATGGAACATAGAAGCAATGTAGATAAATAAAGCTTGTAGAAATAGGCAAGCTGATGTTACCTGGAACAATGAAATTACTTATTATACATTGATACCCAGGTGAAATTTGATATGGCTGAGGAATGGTCATTCAGTTTCCTACTGGAATTAATTCTTTTCCTGGGATAAATGCGAGCTGTGATAAAAACACACTTCTGATTTTCCCTAGAGGTCTATAACATTCGATAGGACTCTTTGGAAAATATTCAACCATCAGATTTTCTGACTTGAAATGCTGACTATTTTGAAAATTCTCAGTAGTCTTTTTCTCTGTGAAGAAATATGTTCTACCTGCTTAAGATAACCAAAATCTTATTGAGAAAAACAGTGGCCAAAATCCTGTTGCATAGTTATGCCTGTGAGAAGCAAAAGGCACAATTTAAAGCAGCTTCTCACTGTCAGTTAATGAGTATTATTTGGACTTACAGACACTCAACAACAATCTACAACCTACAAGGCTGGCCATGGCATATTGCAGGAATCTCACAAACAGTTTTCCCTTGTTGCTGACTCTCTGTAGCACAGCTAGTTGTATTAAGAGGTGCATGATCACTTGCTCACATAGTAGGTGCTGGGGTTCATAACTGACAGCCTGCTAACCATGTACAAATCACTTGCAGTGTTGCAGTCATGTAAAGCAATTCAATTCTGCCATATGCATTTTTCTTTTGAAATTCAAAGAATGACAAAATTCATGGCCTTTAATATATTTATTTTTATTATCCTGCAGTCCAGATGATTTACTTAATGCCTTGAATGAGGGGATCAGTCGTGCTGATGTCATCATCACATCAGGGGGTGTGTCCATGGGGGAAAAGGTATGTGCAAAGGACAATGCTGGGCTGAAGCACAGAGTATAAACCAGAGATAGGACAAAATGGGAACAAGCAATTATAGAATCCTTAACTTGGAGTGTAGTGGCATGAATCTGTGTGAGACTTATTGGTTTAATGAAGTGTGAGATAAGGCTTCAGACACTAAAATAGGGTGGACAAAACACCAAAGATGTATATCAGAGACTAGATACTCCTCAGCTTTACCTGCTATGCTTTGTATTCTCTCTGCTGCCTTCACCCCATCACTAACATGACTCCATGTGCAGAAGACTCTAGTCCCTGTTCCAGTGCAAGCAGTATTTCAGTTGGGCATTATTTACATAAAGTACACAATAAAAATGGCCCCATCTGTGCAGGAAAGTGCAGGTTGCAGGCCTTAATTGCTCCCAAATATTTATTTATTTTGTATTCATGAAGTCTTCCATGGCCGGGATCTAATGGTTGTTGTGGGATTTTCGGGCTCTTTGGCTGTGTTCTGAAGGTTGTTCTTCCTAACATTTTGCCAGTCTCTGTGGCCGGCATCTTCAGAGGACAGCACTGTCAGAGCACAGAGCACAACGTTAGGAAGAACAACCTTCAGAACACGGTCAAAGAGCCCGAAAAACCCACAACAACCATTAGATCCCAGCTGGGAAAGCCTTCGCGAATACACAGAATTGATATTGTTACAATTTTCAGGAATACCAAGAAATGAGAAAACACATGTACAATGAATAAAGTAAGAACCATGTTACTAACTAAACCAATAAACCTACCTTTAAATAGAATTACACTAATTAAAACACATTTAATATCTCGGGTCAATTATTCAACAATAGTAAAAGGCAGCTTTATATAATTCTATCTTGATTAGCTTTCTTAAAACTGAGAAGGATGGTACCCAGAAAACCTCAGAGGGAAGGAGCCACAGCCAAGAAAGCTTGGTTCCTGGTGCTATCTCTTTTGGCCTCATTGGATGTCTCAGGTTTTCACATCAAGGACTGTGCAGAGCAGGTGGGACAGGTAGCTATTTTGTGGGAGAGTCATTCTGCCAAGTATCGAGGTCCTAAACTGTTAAGGGCTCTATAGGTCATGACCAGCAACTTGAATTGGGCACAGAAGGTAACAGGGAGCCAGTGAAGGTATTCCAAGACTGGGGATATTTGTTCATATCTGCTGATACCTGGCAGCCACATTTTGGACCTACTGAAGTTTCTGTACTAAATCCAAGGCAGCCCTACATATAGAGCATTACAGTTTTTTAGAGATTACCAATGCATGAACTGCTATTGTTAGGCATTTCTTATCCAGTTAGGGGTGCAGTGGGAAATCAACCAAAATTGATAAAAGGCACTCTTGACTACAGTAGATATTTGCAAGAGAGATGGGTCAAAGAGTAACCCCAAGGTGCACTCACTTGTAAACTTTTCATTTATTTTTATTACTTGTGCAATTCCTTGTTGTGTGCATATTAATGTACTGTGCACCTAATTTAATCTAGATTGGCAGTTTTACAGACTACTGGTCTTTCACCTTCCTGCCAGGAGCAAATGAGAGAAGACAGAGGGCAAAAGACTTGTTTTGTTTGTTTTTAGTACATTTTCCCTTCTGTATGCAACTACTATACTTGCGGGATTAAGCAGAGTTTTTTTAAATTGTGTAAACCATCATAAATTATAAGTGACCACTGAGTTACAAGATACACATTTAAAAAAAGAAAAACGTGGGGGAGGGGAAAGGAAGTATTGGTGTTGAAAATTGCCTCCCATGCTAGGTAGGAAGGACTGACAGGAAAAGAAGTACAAAACATCTAGGAATTGGAGAAGATTGTCCCAGAAGAGATGAGCAACGCACAGTCTAAATATGCCAACCCCAGCCCCTGTGCTCCTCTGAAACATAAAACACGTTTTGAAAAAAATGAGGGTTCAAAAATTCACTTGTGCCCTTTAGGAGACATGTAGGGCAGTTCTGCTAATTTGAGAGTTCCTAGAATCCTTGTGGTCTCCATATGCTGGCTACTTACTCAGTATAGAAAGCCATTTTTCTAAGAAAAAAATGAAGGAGGGGTTACAGAAACAACTACAGCCCTCCAACATCCAGGGATGGGTGTTTGCAACCCCCTGATATTATCCATGCTATCTTAAAAGGACAAATCATCTTTACCCATAAGAAGCCGAGTAGCAAGTGGCCTCTGCTACCCCTTTGTATTTTTATTCCTGTATTTCATTACTGTTAACTTATCTCAGAACTATTTGGTGGGCATATGGCGTACACATTTAATAAATAAATAAGTTAAGTTTCTAGGACTGGACAAATCATCTTCTAACAAATACCACAATTTGAATACTTTTTTGTTTTAAAACAGGACTATCTAAAACAGGTGCTGGATATTGATCTCCATGCTCAGATTCACTTTGGCAGGGTTTTTATGAAACCAGGGTAAGTAATATTTCCCTGCTAGAGTTTATATTTGATAGTCAACCATTTGGTGTTGGAAAGTTTTTACATTCATTCTAAATATGAAATACAAATGTGTCTCCTTCCACAAATCCATTCCTACCTGTAAGGAATTTCAGAATTTCAAAAAAGAACTATTTATGGGATAGAGCATGATGCTAAAGGCAACCCTCAACCTAGAAAAGGTTTCTATCCTACTTTTTAACTACACAGTAGTACTGAAGTTGTCTTACAAGCATAAATCAGAATGGAAGATTGAAAACAAATGTAACCATAAACCATTAAATTAACTTAGATTAAAAACAAATAATTGAATTCATCACAATAAATGTCAACTAGTTTCATGAGCCAATTTTTAAAAAAGATGTCTTTATGTGTTTCCCTGAAACAGAGGGTGGGAACTGACTGCAGGAGATCCATTTCAAAGCCTGGGAGCAGCAGAAGTCAATACCGTCTCCCATATACCTGTCAATTGGCCCTGTAGAGATGTTAGTATCCTAAAGAAGGACTTCCCTAACAGTGAGACAAATTCATAACAGCACAAGCAATCCCTTAGACAGCCAGGCTGCAGCCTGTATGCCAAGGTTAGAATCCACATTTTGAATTGGGCCTAGGAAGCAAGTGGCAATCCAACAGTTTTTTCAGTACCAGAACCCTGTGTTCTCTATACCAGATAGCCTAGTTACCAAATATTACATCAGCCGAAGATCACAACCTCTCTTTTAGTATAGATCCACACATTGCAGTAAAAGACACAATGAAAATAAGGCATGGATGAGTGTTGCTGAGTCAGGTCAATTCAGATAAGATCATAGCTTATTCTATCAAGTGGAGTTGTTGAAGACTACTCCTGGCTACTACTGCAAAGTAGGAATCCATGGACAAGCACAGAATCAAGGAATCACAGGATGGAATCAGAATAATGGAATTGGAAGTGGCCTATAAGGCCATCAATTTAAACCCCCGCTCAATGCAGGCAGGAATCCAATTTAAAATACAGCTGACAGATGGCTGTCCAATTTTCTCCTGAATTCCTCCATTGTTAGTGTTCACTACCTCCTGAGGTAATTGGTTCCATTGTCATATTGCTGCAACAGATAGAAAGTTTTTCCTGATATTCAGCCAAAATACAGCTTCCCATAACCTGAGCCCATTATTACATGTCCTATGTTCTAGAATGATTGAAAAAAAGATCCTTACACTATATTACAATCTTCGAAGTATTTGAAGCATGCCATCATATCTTCTCTTTGTCTTTTCAAAACTAAATATGCCCAGTTCTTTCAGTCTTTCCTCATAAAGCATGATTCCCAATCCCCTGATCATCCTTGTTCTCTTATGAAATTGTTCCAGTTTGTCAGCATCCTTCTTAAAATGTAGCGCCCAGAAATGGACACAATCCTCTAAATGAGGCCTAACCAGTACCAAATAGAGAGGAACTAGTAAACGGGATCTGGAGACTATTAATGCAGACTAAAATAGCATTTTCCTTTTTTGCAGCAGCATTTCACTGTTGCTCATATTTAGCTTATGATTACAATTCCAAGGTCCTTCTCATATGTAGTACTGCTGAGCCATGTATCTCCCATCTTATAAATGTATGTTTGGTTTCCTTTCCCTAAGAATACAACTTTGTATTTATCCCTGTTAAATTTCATTCTATTGTTTTCAGCCCAGTACTCAAGGTTATCAAGGTCTTTTGAATTCTGATTTTGTCTACCAGGATGTGACCTATTCCACCCAATGTTATGTAATCCACAAACTTGACAAGCATTCCCTGCACCCCCCCCATCAAAGTTATTAATAAAAATGTTGAACAGCACCAAGCCAAGTACCCTGCTTGTAACCTCCTCCCAGTTTGAGGAGGAGGCATTGATAAGCATTTTTTGAGTACAACTCTGTTACCAACTGTGTATCCACTTGAAAGTTGTTCTATCCAGTCCACAGCTTGCTAATCAGAAGATCATGAAGTACTTTGTCAAAGGCTACGCTGAAATCAAACTACTGTATTTTTTGCACCATAAGACTCACTTTTTTCCCACAAAACAGGGGTGTGGAAAGTCTGTGCGTCTTATGGAGCGAAGAAAACAGATTATATTTTCCTGTTTTCTTCTCCTAAAAAATTGGTGCGTCTTATGGAAAGGTGCGTCTTATGGAGCGAAAAATACGGTATATTAATTATACACAATTCCCACAGTCTACTAGGGAGGTTACCCAATTTAAAAAGACTAAAAAAGATTAATCTAGCAGGACTTGTTCTTGACAAATCTTTGTTGGCTTCTAATTACCACTGCATTATTTTGAAGGTGCTTTGAAATCCACTGCAGAATTTTCCCCAATATTGCTGTCAGGCTGACTGGTCTGGTTCCCCCTTTTTGAAGATAAAGACAACCTTAACTCTCCTTTAATAATCTGGCATTTCACCCATCCCCTGTGACTTCAAGAAAATGATAAGACAGTGGTTCTGAAAGTTCATCAGTCCCTTCAATACTCTTGGGTGCAGTTCATTGGGCCCTGAAGATCCAAACCCGTTCAGAAATGAGGTATTCCTTGAATATTTGTTTATCAATCTCAAGCCACAGTCCTATCCCCTCTACTTGTACATGTTTTCCAGAAGGGCCATAGACATTCTTTGGGGAGAAAACTGAACTAAAGTAGGAATTTAGCACTTCTGCCTTTTCTTTGTCATCTTTTATGATTTTGCCATCTCCACTAAGTGCCTGAATAACTGCCTTTTCTTTGTCTTTTGCTATGCATGTGCCTGATGATTTTTAATTGATTTTAGTGCATCTTGCTAATCTCAGCTCATTTTCAGTTTTGAATCCTAAACCATCCCTGCAATTCTTTGCTATCTGACTGTACTCTAACAGTAGGGACTGGAATACAATTTCCCCAGCAACCACCCCACCTAGGTGGTTCAGAATAATATCATTCAGTAAATGCTAATGAAAGCTGAGAGGTCTGGAAGAAGTAACAAAGTCAGGCTCCCTGAAGTAGTTTCAGTTCCATGTCAAAATCAAAACCTGAAATGGGTGCAGATAATCAGTGTCATGTAATTGGAGTACCAACACCTTCTCAGTGATTTTAGCCAGAAACAGTACATTTGATATTGGCCTATAATTGATCCTGAGTCAGTGCCAGATTTCATTACTAGAGCTTTTATGAGCTTGTATCCTTTTAACAGGAAGGAACAATCTCTTTCTGTAAAGAGGCATTTATCATCTTCCTTATCCTTAGCATCACCTCTACAGTATCTTGTAAAATGCAATCAGTCAAAAATGGCAAAATTTTAAGTAAGCAGATTTTAAAAACACATTTATAGTTGGCTCTGTCCCAAATTCCCCTCCATTATGTTCTAGCCTCCACTCCTGGGGCCTGATTTAGCACAGTAAGTGGGGAGTGGCCACCTAGGAGTGATAGTGGTGATCACTTCATCAATTTTTATATTCCACAGGTTATTTAGGGGTTCAAGAGTAGCATCAACAAACAAAATAGCAAGCTCCGCAAGTAATTTTTTTAAAAAAAACACTGGCTCCATCAAGTGCTTCGGGTAAACCAGCTTAACTCAAACCTCAACCCCTGTAGAAACTCACACTAGCCACCAATCTAAAACTAATCAGATAGTGATATGTCTGTGACAACCGAGTCACACATAATCCTGCCACCTTCAGATCATTTAGTCAATTAGAATACTAAATACAAAATAATAATGGGGACAGGTGCATGATTGTCACCAAATCAGACCGAAATCTTGACCCTTTCATGACTACAGTGGGGTCTTGACTTGAGAACTTAATCCGTATTGGAAGGCGGTTCTCAAGTCAAAACGTTCTCAAGTCAAATCTGCATTTCCCATAGGAATGCATTGAAAACCATTTGATCCGTATCTGCTCTTTTCCGTCCATAGAAACTAATGGGAAGCTGCTATTCTGCCTTCGACCACTAGAGGGGGATATTTTGTTTCTTTTTTTCTTAGGTCAAGAAAGGTTCAGGGAAGGCAGGGAAAATACAGTCCATCTCAGAGCAGGAAGACTAGGCAGTTCCAGCAAGAAACCAAAGATTGACCTGCTACTTCAGAGGGGGAGACTATAGGGCAGTAGTAGTAGGCATCCTTCAGTCTAGAGAGGCTATGGTAACATGCTCTGAATAGAGGTCTTGGAACAGCGTCTAGTGTGGCCGAGAAGGCCAATTTGAGAGTGACAATCCCTTTCACACAAATACAATCTGTCCCTTGCCCAGCTCCCTGATTTTGCTGAACTGCCTCTTTGCCTCAGACTGCTGAACAAGTGTCTCTTCAAAGTGGGAGAGGCCATGCAGCACTACAGTAGAGTAGATAGTATTCTAATAGTATGAATGGGATTTTTTGATTTTCTGGACTTTAGATACCACAATTCTCCATTCTGGGAGTTCTTTATAAGGCGTAGATATCTTACAAAGACCAAAATGTGATACACCTCGGGAAAAGGGTCTAAATTAGAAGTCTTTGAGTCTTAGGTTGGCCAAGATCCTCCCAAGCTGCCTGATCAGAAAGAAAGCTTCCAGCTAGCATAGGGAAACAAGAAGGTTGGGCAGAGTGAAGCTAGCTAAGCCTCAGTGCCTTCTAATTTAGACCATTACACAACCCTGTTAAAATGTCAAGTGTCTGTGATGTAAAAAAATGAGACAAAGATTTCAGAACTTTTTCCACCTTTAATGGGATCTATGAACTGTACAACTCAGTTGAACAACAAACTGAAATCTTTTAGGTGGAGGAAATTAAAAATATAAAACTGAAATAATAACCAACAGTGATCCAGATGGAAGTAGGTGAAAAATATGTTCCTTATTAACAAACCTCAGACTAATCACACTAATGTGGATGTAGGCCTCAGTAAAGACAGTGGGATTTATTTCCAAATAAGAGTGCACAGAAGTTTGCTGTAAAAGGTCCACATAGTTTAAATAGGCTAAAATATTCAGAAAGTATACAACTTTTGAACTACTTAATGTTTGCAACAGGTTTTATCTTTATAATTTGACTTTTGTTTCTAGGTTGCCAACAACTTTTGCAACTTTGGATATTGATGGTGTAAGAAAAATAATCTTTGCACTGCCAGGTAAGTTTTAAGAACTTGTAATTTTCCTTCACAAGTGCACAGATTATGCAAAATGGATCAGAAAGCCACCAAAACATAAGATATTGTAGCCTTAGGTTCCTAAATCCATACACCGTGGTAACTTTATTTTCACCTGATGTTGAATTGCCCATATGAAGAAGTACAATAGGTGAAACATTTTTCCATGTCTACCATAGCTATGGTATCTTGAACTGTTCAGTAACAATGCAGCAGTTATTTATTAATGCTCTAAGTCTAAATTTCATATCTATAAATTGTTCTTCTGATTTTTAGGGAATCCTGTGTCAGCTGTTGTTACCTGCAATCTTTTTGTTGTCCCAGCACTGAGGAAAATGCAGGGAATCCTGGATCCTCGTCCCACTATCATAAAAGCCAGGGTAAGAGTTATGAAGATACAAGATGAGCTTATGAAGTGCTAGTGTCATAGTACTGAAGAAATGCCCTCTAACATATCTGGAATCTAGAACTTGGCTCTTATGCAAAAAGAAAAATAAATATGGGAGTGTTCTAACACTGGATACCGATAGCTCTCAAATATATACAACATCACACTACTGAAGAAGGGTATCTCTTGCGGATTATCAGATAATCATGTATTTGCCTTAGAATACAAAGTCTGTCAGATGGACTGTAGGAAATCAAATCGTTTGTAACTGAGAAAAAAACAGAATTCTCATTTTCTCAAAGAAAGAGTAGCACAAGACTTGACATAATAATAGGAACTAATAACACTGCTTGCAAAGTGTGATTTGTGTGGCTTGTGCATAGTTTATGGATTTGGAAATGTAAAATATAATTTACGATATCAATTAGTATGATTATTTGGAGCTCAAAAGTTGCATTAAAGGTACACAACTATGAACTTCTGCTAATACCAGAGCAGTTAGAAACTGTGTTTTTGTGTTTCTTTAGCTGAGAATTGTATAATGGTCAGAGCATAGAGACACAGTCTGTATAATGGCCAAAGCACAGAGAGCATATGGTGAACACACAGGGTCTGATCTACTCCAGAATTAGTTGGCACACTATTCAACACACTGTCAAAATTTTCTCACCATGAAGTGAAGCTCTCCTACCTTTGATTATAACTGCAAACAAGCCAGCAAATGAAAGATTATTACAGAATGTTTGTTAGTTAGGAAGTGTTTTGAAGTCTTATGGAAATTGCCAAATATAACCAAGACATTCCACACTATTCCTGACCCCATGTCAAATGAACAGATTTTGCAATATTTTGTTGTACTTTGAAAAATACTTTACATTCAATGAAGACTGTGTGCAACATCTTTTAGATTGTTAACATTATAGGCAAAAATGCCCAGTTTCTACACATGCTTTATTTTAGATATTATAAGTTCCACAGCTTACAAAATAATGCAGTCATGTTTTTCTATTAAAAGGACTGACTGGTAATGTTCAGATAAATCATCCTGAAATATTTTCTCTCTGATTACCCCCTAGATTGTTTTGTTGAACAAGATAGTTAAATACAAGCTGTTAGTAAAACTGAACCTGACAGAACTATTAAATGATCTAGTAAAATCTGATAATTATATGGTCGAAAAAAAGGTTTTGCCAGGTTTACAGCAACAACCCGTTTCTGGTGTGAAAGATTAAATTAATTGTGATTTAGCATTTGCCTAATCCAGATCTAAATGAACATAACAAGACCATAAGAAGAGTCCTGCTGCATCAGGCCAAGGGCCCATCTAGTCCATCTTCCTGTATCTGGTTCTGGTATTTCTTGAGAGGGAAAAAAGCTTCCCTCTATCCACTTTATCCATCCCCTGCACAATTGTATATGTCTCAATCATGTCCCCCCTGCCTCAGGTGGCTTTTCTCTAGACCAGGGATCTCCAAACATTTCAGCAGGAGGGCCACATTATATATGCTCCATGTTTTTGAGGGCTGAGCACGTGCGCACACACACACACATGCCAGCACACACACACGCTGGCCTGTTCACGGGCTGGATAAAAAGGCAAGGTGGGTCGGATATGGCCTCCAGCCTTAGTTTGGAGATCCCTACTCTAGACTAAAGAACCCCAAACCTTTTCCAGTTTCACGATGTCTTTTTTGAGGTGCAGCAACCAGAACTCCAGGTGTGGACTTACCAGATAATGGCATTATAATGTAGGCTGTTATATTTTCTTTTTTAATGATACAGTGGGGTCTTGACTGGAAAACTTAATCCGTATTGGAAGGCGGTTCTCAAGTCAAAACGTTCTCAAGTCAAATCTGCATTTCCCATAGGAATGCATTGAAAACCATTTGATCCGTATCTGCTCTTTTCTGTCCATAGAAACTAATGGGAAGCTGCTATTCCGCCTTCGACCACTAGAGGGGGATATTTTGTTTCTTTTTTTTCTTAGGTCAAGAAAGGTTCAGGGAAGGCAGGGAAAATACAGTCCAGGCAGTACAGTACCAGGCAGTCCGAAGACTGTCTCCCAATCCACTCTCTAAACGCTGGGAGGAGTGAGGAAGCAGACAGGCACCCTTTTCACTGGCCAACAGTTAACTGAAAGTTCACATTTTGCACTTTCCCTGCCTCCCACGTGTTTTTTTTTCAGTTCTTAACTCAAATCTAAGTATGTAAGTCAAGTCAATATTTTCCTATGAGAGTGGTTCTTAAGTCAAAATGTTCTTAACTCGAGCCGTTCTTAAGTCAAGACCCCACTGTATGTAGCATGGAATTGGCCTGCTTCACTGTCGCTGCACACTGGGTTGACACTTCCATCGAGCTGTCCACCAGCACACCCAGATCTCTTTCCTGATCCCTCACAGATAGCTCAGAACCCATTAGCTGATAAAGTTTTGGGGTTTCGTACCAATGTGCATTACTTTATATTTTCTTATATTGAAACACATTTGCCAATTTGCCACCCGTTCTCCCAGTTTGGAGAGATCCTTCTGGAGCTCTTCACAATCCCTTTTGGTCTTCACCACCCAGAAAAGTTTCATGTCATCTGCAAACTTGGCCACCTCACCGCTTATCCCTATCTCCAGGTCATTTATGAACAGGTTGAAAAGCACTAGTCCCTGGACAGATCCCTGGGGCACACTGCTTTTCACTTCTCTCCATTGTGGAAGTTGCCCACTGACACTTCCTCTCTGTTTCCTGGTTCTCAACCAATTCTCAATCCATAAGAGAACATGCCCTCTTATCTCGATTGTGAAGTTTTCTCAGCAGCCTTTGGTGCAGGACCGTGTCAGACACCTTCTGAAAATCCAGATAGATCAAATCCACTGGTTCGCCTGCATTCACATACCTGTTGACATTAGAATTCTTTTCAAAGAATTCTAAAAGTTTTGTGAGGCAAGACTTAGCCTTACAGAAGCCATGCAGATTTTTCCTCAGCAGGGCTTGTTCTTCTGTGGGTTTTAAGATTTTATCTTGGATGAGGCTTTCCACCATCTTCCCTGGAACAGACGTTAGGCTAACCAGCCTGTAGTTTCCCAGGTCCCCCCTTTTTCCCTTTTTAACCTGGCCTCTGGTGGGCTCCATGACAAGTTGCTTCAAGGCACAGTCACTTAGTATGTCAGGAAACCCAGTCTCTCTTTCTTGACCCAAGCATCCACTGACCCAGTCGATGTGAGGATAATTGAAGTCCCCCACGATTACAATTCTGTCACTCTTGGACACCTCCCTGATTTATCTCCTAATTTCAAGGTGCCCGTCTCACACACACACACACACACACAC